AAAAGGCATAAAATATGCATTAGAAACATTTGATTTCTGCACTATAATTTTCCTGTCAACTTGAGCTTAACCTCAGGTTTATTATGCAAGTGCTCCAATCTTGGCTCAGCACAGCGGGGCTGCCAGGGCCAAGACCAGAGGATTGGAGAACGATTTACATTATTTGCACAAAGTAAGACTTCTTGGTTTTTCTTTTAAAAATAAATGTACTAATAAAATAAAACTCTTCAAAAAGAAAGCTCTTCCCTGACAAAAAGCCAATTCCATTAACAACATAATTTATATTTCTATATCTTTCAGTTTAAAAAAATATTTTAGATTCACTGCATTTCAAATAGTTTAGTGGATATCTTATGTGTACTTTAAAATAAAATGGGCCATTTTGATTTTACTAATGTTATACCTATTGTTAGAATAAACATAATCTTTTCTCCCTCAAGTTAGAAATCTGGAGGAGGATTTTTTTGTTTTTGTTTTTGTTTTGTTTTGCTTTTTTTGAGATGGAATCTTAGTCACTCTGTCACCCTGGCTGGAGTGCAAAGGCTGGATCTCGGCTCACTCCAATTTCTGCCTCCTGGGTTCAAACAATTCTCCTGCCTCAGCCTCCCAAGTAGTTGGGATTACAGGTGCACAATACCATGCCTGGCTAATTTTTGTATTTTTAGCAGAGACAGGGTTTTGCCATGTTTGCCAGGCTGCTCTTGAACTTCTTGGCCTCCTAAAGTGCTGGGATTACAGGTGTGAGCCAACGTGCTGAAACTGAAGAAGAATTTTTTTAAGAATCAGTGTCCAGTGTATAATTGATAAACATTTCATCTGGAAATACTTCCTTCTCTTTTAGGCCCCTCTTTTGAAGTCTGACAGTGGCATAAAGCAGATTCAATGAACTCTAGCTAGAATCAGGATGCTTGGACTCCTCCATTCTTGGCTTTTATGGGTAAGGCGGGAATTTCTGTTTGCCTCAAATTCTTCATCCATAAAATGAGAGCTCTCGCCTGGATGAACTCTAAGATCTAGATGGTGTTCCAGATCTGCAATGCTAAAACAGCATTGTCCAACAAAAATGGAATGTGAACCACACAGATAATTTAAAATTGTCTAGGGGTCATATCAAACAATCAAATAAAAAGATACAGCAAAATAATTTTTATAATATAGGTGATTTAACCAACTCTGTCCAAATATCATCATTTTAACATGTAAGTAACATAAAAAATACTAATATGATTGCTTTTCATATTACCTCTTTGAAATCAGGTGTGTATTTCATACTTTGATCATGTCTCATTTGTTGCTAAGTTTCTCTCAGAAATATTTGATCTGTATTTTAATTTTATAAAACTTATAGTTTCAAAAGTTGATAGGACCCATACCCAAATTGTTCCCAACATATTTAAAAGTTTTCCAATAACTAAACTGAGGATCAATTTTAAGTTTATATTTAAATTAATGCAAGCTAAATAAAATTAAAGCTTTAGTTTTTTAGTTGCGTTAGACACACATCAAAGGCAACAAACTGACTACAACACCAGACTACACGGATCTGCTATATAAATATTCTTTTTTGAAAAATTTTCATGAGAATACAGGTATTCAACAAGGCTTTTATATTCAGATTTTTTACTTAATATTTTTTCTTTTGTTAAGGGTAGAAACTAATAACAAATAACTACCCTAACGGTTTAATTTATTTTTAAATTTAACATATACTAAGCAATCTGTCTGATTTCTTTCATATGCTAGCCCAAGCCCCAGCTGGACCTGAGTCTAAACGTATTAGATAATGTAATTGTAAATGTAAATGATGCTTACAGGCCGCTGCACTGATGAGATGATGTCCACTCCTAAGGAAAGGGCCAGTCGGTAGAGATGGTCTGCATGTGCTTGCTTTTCTTGAGAGCACCGGAGATGAATCTGCACATCGTGAGCATCATCCAGGTCCTTTGGCTGCTCTAGAAACTCTAGTTCTCTTGATTTGATGAGACGTCTCAGCTGGAAATTGGGGCATTAACAATTAACCTGGGTTTTATATGAAGACAGATTTTTTAAATCTTAATTTCTATAGCACATTTTGTTAGCTGGTCAAAATGCTGCCAAGCCCATCTATAAATTGTTGGTGTTAGTCAAATAAGTGTTAGAATGCTGCAAATCCAATGGTGGTGAAATTGAACCACTAATGATGTCAGTTCTATTAAAGTAATTAAGAATCAAGATACTAAAATGCAAGATATGTGGAATAAACAATGTGCTCTAGGATTTTTGAAGAGAGAGAAATCACTCCAAGTGAAGTAGGATTGTTGGAAGGAGGTACAGGATTTAGATAAGAGGGAGGAGAAAGACTTGTCAAATAATGGCAGCCTGAGAGTGCAGGCTCGGAGTTAGTATGTGTGCACCATCTCTGAGGAACAAAGAGCTCAGTATGGCTGGAACAAATGGGAGAATAGGAACATAGTGAGAGAAAAGTTAGGGGCCAGATTGTGTGACCTTCTTAGAAGACACAATTTGGCCTTTATTTATTATATAATAACTCATTTTTAGTCACATAGTTTAAAACTCAGGATTTTTCAGACATCCCTTCTAAGCCTTACCTCTTCCTTGACTTGATGGAACTGGACCACCTTGTACAGGACATCCTCGTAATCCTGGATTCTCTCTCTCTGTTTCTGATGGAGGTGAATAAGGTCCTTCAGTTGCTGAGACTTCTCTTTTACAGGGGCTCCTTTGCCAGTTAACTCCTCTGATTCTTTCATAATGTAATGAACCTCATCATTCAATTGCTAAAACATTGAAAGCAATAAAAATAAAATCTAGCTTTTAAAGAATCTTTTTACTTTACAATAGACAATATGAAGGTCTAAACAATGCATCACTCTTTCATTTCTTAACACATACTTATTACGAGTGCCCCCACCCTCCAAAAAATTTGAGCATTGTGCTGGATGATAGAGATACATTTTTCCAAATTCATCTCAGAAATTTACAAAAAATAACATGAACAATGCAAAAATGTTTCAAAGCTAGGTGGAAAAACAAAGTCATGTATTTCTGTGGCACACCGAACACTCTATTCATCTGTTAAGTAAATGTATTTTAGATATTTTATGCAGCCCCATGATTATCTCTGATATTTAATACAGACTAGAATCCAGTGGTATAGTAAAAACACCATGAGAAGATGAGTGTAAAAATATATCAGGGGAATAACTTGTGCTCTGTGATAAAAGAATGATCAGAATGAACCACCAGCTGAATAGCACAGGAGATACGTTGCTTCAAAAGCAGTCATCCCATGAGCCACAAATAGCCATCACATGTAGGGAGGGATAAACTGCCTTCCTTTTTACCCAGCATTGCTCAGATATCCCTTATAGGAATGCAGATTCTGGAATAGAATTTGCAAAGGGGGCCTACTTTAAAGAGAATGCTACTATAGGCCAGGCGTGGTGGCTCATGCCTGTAATCCCAGCACTTTTGGAGGCCAAGGAGGGTGGACCACCTGAGGTCAGGAGTTCAAGACCAGCCTGGCCCACATGGCAAAACCCTGTCTCTACTAAAAATACAACAATTAGCCTGGTATGGTAGTGCACACCTGTAATCCCAGCTACCCCAGAGGATGAGACATGAGAATTACTTGAACCTGGGAGGCGGAGGCTGCAGCAAGTCAGAATTGTACCACTGCACTCCAGCCTGGGCAAGAGTAAGACTCTGTCTCAAAATGAGACAGGAGAGAGACGAGAGAGAGAGAGAGAGAGAGAGAGAGAGAGAGAAAGAGAGAGAATGCTGCTATAGTTTTAAGAGTAGATCTTTTGTATGAAATGTAAAAGTAATGGAAATGATTTAGACTAAAAACATAATTTTCAGAAGAGTGACCTAAAAAGGGTCTTCAAGTTTAAATCAAGCATTTGGGCTCAAATATATGTGCATCACAGTGACAGGGCTAAATAAGTGTGGCGATGATACTGATTTAAAGGAACTTACATGTACATGCAAACGTGCACACAAGCAAAATGCATGTAAGCAGATAACACAAGGTGTATTAAAGAACCTAATGTAGGTCAGTCACATTTGCTGAGAGTTTTAAAGAGTTTGCTGTGGGTTACAAGGGTGGGTGTGTTTGTGTGTAGTGGGCACGGTAGTTATATCTTACATTGGTTTTGCCTTAAAGGAACCTAAAATTAGATATTCCCTAAAGGAGTCTTTAATCTTCTAATTCTGGGATTCTTAAAAGTCCACATTTATGAAGTAGTCACAGCTAAAAACAAGAGTATTTAAATTCTGCAGCAAAGCATAAGAATCCAGGCAGAAGTATAATGTGACTGGCAGAGGGCAATTTTTGGCAGTTGTGTCATGTTTTGGAGAGGCAGGAGGTAGGGAAATAGGGACTATGTTAAGCAGTCAGGGGCCAGGAACATGACTCATCATTTTATCGCTCACATCCTGAGGCTTTGTGAGGCATGGAGAGCACAGCAAAATTCCTAGGGTGAGGTAGGAGCCTGGGGTGCTGGTGGGTGGAGACAGTGACATAACAGTGGTCACCCAGGGCAGTAAAGGCTCTGGATCCAAGTTTGCCCATCCTTGTTCTGAGATGTCTCAATTTAAAACACCTCTGTACTCCCCAGAAAAAGAGTTGGTGTGAACATATAGGATAAATGTATTAGTAGTTTAATTAGCCATGTGAATTTTCAAAATCTAAGATAAAAATCTATTTAGAACATTTTGTAGCCTGAATGTTGGTATATCATCAAATTCAAAAGAATGCAGGAAAATAGTAAGAAAAATGTGTCTCTACAGTGGATTTTCAGACAAGCAATACTTTTGTTTAAAAAGAAATTTTTCAGACAAGCAATACTTTTGTTTAAAAAGAAATTTGCCAGCCTATTACAATTAATTAGGTAAACTGCAATGAAACAGTTTTAAATATTTTTTCCATTCACCCAAACCCAGCAATACATTTCTTCACCTGGAACTGAGGCTTCATGTCATTCCATTTCTGTTGTAGGTCTAAAACGGACTTGAGGCTCCCTCCAAGGTCAAGTGCAGACACAGGCATAAGTACTTCCTGAAGAAGTTTTAAGTTGTGAGTAGTCTGAAAGAAACATTGGACAGTTATGCATGAGTTTTCTTTGACATCTCCAGCAAATGTGATCCTTCTAGTAATGATACAGTGTGATCAAACTTTTCAACTACCATGAAAACATTCACGGTGTGGCGTATGCTCAGGGTTCTAAACCACCAAGGAGTAAAAGTACAGCCCCTTGGTTTCTGTTATCTTTTCTGGTTTTATTTTGGTAAAATATACAAAACAAAAGTCACCATGTTTATCATTTTGGGTGTACAGTTCAGAGGCATGATATTTAACACGTTCACATGATTGTACAATAACCATCACCACCATCCATCTCCAGAACTCGTTCATCATCCCAAACAGAAACTCTGTTCCCATTAAACAACTCCCTATTCCCTCCCTGTCTCCCCAAGCCCCTGGCAACCTACATTCTGCTTTCTGCCTCTATGAGTTTGACTACAGGGACCTCATCTTAGTGGAATCATACAATGCTTATCCTTTTGCGTTTGGCTTATTTCACTTAGCTAGTGTTTTCAAGGTTCGCTTGTGTTAGCCCGTGTCCGAATTTCATTCCTTTTCACATTCCATCATTCCTTGCCTCACCTTTTTAAGCTGCTCTTTGAATGCCACCCACTGCTGTTTTACAGGCTTGCTTTCTGTGGCTTTAAGCTGCCATGCCAGCCGCAGGAGGCTAAGTCCTTCCCTTTCCGCTTTCTGGGTTTCCATGGTGTTCTTCATGATGTACACTTCATTTTTCATATTTAACATGTCGTTCTCTTTTGCCTGTTAAGTTAATAATTCATATAAAAGCTTTCCTTTCCCAAGACATACAGCTTTTTGTTGTATATAACTATTTTATGAGGCAAATTCTTTATTACACCCAAAGCAGAGCACAGTTCTAATATCCAGACAAGTCTGAACACCCTGCACAGAGGCACAGTTCAGCTCGTGAAACCCATATACTGTGCTTAGACATAAGGTCCCAAGTTCTTCAAGACCCAAGAGATGTTTGAATTTTGAATTCCTACCTAGGGTCTGGTTATTTCCTGGGGTTTGAAAGATGATTTAATGAGCAGGGGATCCAGAATTTTTGAAAACAAGATTTAAAAACTGTGTATAAGTATACTTATACACATTTTAAGTACCGTATACTCCATCTTTTATTTTAACACATTCATTAGAATATGTCAAAATATCAGTATTGAGGAATAGGAGGGGTGGATTGTTCTAGACTGCTGGTTTTTTTTTCTTTAAATTATCCCATTGTTACAATTATTTTAAATGTCCTTTGCAGTTTCTCAAGTTCCTCCATTTTGTGAGAACTGAAATGTGTCTGTATCTCTGTATTCCGAACTACATCATGCGCCGGAAGCACAGTATCTAAAATCAAAGATTTCACTTCCCAGCTTTCACGTGTTCTGCCTGACTGGTTTGAAATCTTTTAAACAACGGTTTTAAACAAGGGGAAGTTCAATTAGAGGTAAAATGATAATTGGAGCAAAGAGTAAGGCTACGCATGCTTTATTTCTATAGAAACATTTTTAAAATGCACAGGAACATTCACTTGGCAAAACAGTTATTATGTTTTTTTTTCTTTAGTAGCCAGCCTTTCTCAATAAATCTTCAAATTTCTATCATCTCAATGATAGTAATTGACAGTATCATAAATATTTAACAGGATATTTTAGATAGGCCATTTTATTTTGAAATTATTTTAAATGATATTGATAATGCACACATATTTTTATATTATTTTATACATTACAAAGTATAATTCATTCCAAAGCAATTCATTCCAAAAATATATATGTGTAGGTCCTTAATGAGATTTCCCCATGAACATAAGAATCTAGTAAGAAAATTATATATTCCCTCATTATTAATGATACATAATAAATTATGAAAGATATTAGACAACTACAGTAGAATCCATCCCAAATTATACTTTTATATTATAGTTATATTTCACATATTTTAAAGAAATAATCAGAATGTAATGTATTATATAATTTAATATAAATTTTGAAACTGCAGCACGCCAATGACAACTTTAATCAGAAGGATACGGTGGTCTGAGTGAGGTCTAGAGAAAGGAGGGCGGTAGCAGGATTCGTAGATGTCTAGCTAGTAGGATCTGCAAAAAGTGATTATGTATTGGCAGATGAATATTTTGGGCACTCAAAAAGATGGAATAATTTTCCTGAGGTCTAATTAGTAAACACAGTACTCATTTTACTTCTGTGTAGGACATGGAAAATTTTTGCCATATTCCAATCTAAATAGGCCACTAAAGTGTTCATTTTTTTGTTTATATTCATGCACCATGAATGGTTTTCTGATGTCTTTGTTTTCCAGATACCTTGATAAGAGGAAGGCTGTATCCCAGATAGCATTCTTGGTATTGACCATTATAAATTAATAAGCTGGCATGTTCATCAAGATGTCTGCCAGAATTTGGGCCTGAATCAGTTTCTCTGATCTTAACGATTGTTAGATGAACTGAAAAATTTCTGGCTTGAAAATATGAGCCACAACAACCCAATAAAGAGCAGAACACTCAACTGAATATACCAGCTGGCCTCTGCCTTCTTAACGAGCAAACTGGTCACCATGATTCAACAATAATGTTTGTTTAAAAGCCTAATGGTCCAAAACTTATGATGAGAATGGAAAAAATTGTTTTACTTACTTTACCAACAATTTCATCTCTCCAAATGCTGCTGACCAATATATTTCATTATCACACGGGCTTTAATTTTATCAATAACGAGGAACATATTTATCATATGATAGTGGAAAAGGCCTTGGGGTACAGCGATCATGGTTATGGCATCAAGATAAAAGATTACCAAAGCACAGTAGTAAAATATACGCTATTTCTGGGAGATCTAAGTGGGCATTGAATATTATGATAACCTAAGTTTATTTAGATATAGATACAAAATGTAATTTGGAATGAGTTATTGCTGCAGATCCTTAAAAACGAAAATCTGACTGTACAATCTAGAACATTCTAAATAAGTAACAAAGGACTTCTGGGCAGAATGGGGCAGCCATTGGCAGAACGCTGGCTAAAATGCAGAAGGCGTCCATTTGAAGGAAGCAGAGAGCTGCTCTGGCAGCCAGAATGAGAGACGAGATGCTGACTCCAGAGAGGGAAGAACCTGACAGTGGCCAGCTCACCTATCATCCCAGGGGCAATTTCCGATTCTTTGCAGACAGGAGGCCAATAATGGAGACTTGCCTGGAGCAGAGAACGTCTGCGCATAGAGATTGTGGCAGACACTTGGAGGGCTTTAAGCACAAAAAAGACGCTGACAAAATACTGGTGCTATATGGGGCAGTGGATTAAAAAACCTAAGCAAAGGCCTCTGAAAAGCAGAGTGGAGTTTTTCAGCAGACTACCCAAAAAAGATTGGGGTTTATGACCTGCCAGGGACAGAGACCTCAGAGAAAGCATCTAGCTCTCAATACCGAACTCTGGGAGTCTGAGGGGACAGGACTACACTGCAAACACAACTCTACCAGCTTCTGATTGGCTTGAGTGATTGCCCAACAATGCCTGCCTAGAGAAAGAAGGGTGACTCTTTCTAGAGGAAGAAAACACCATCTGCCGGTCCTCCAAATTTTTATATATAATGTCTGGCTTGATAAATATTCACTAGTCCTGCCAAGAGACAGGTCTACATGACTGAAAACCAAGGGAAAAATTAGACAATAAAAACTGCTCCAGCTTGGCTGTGTGCTGTGGTTTACGCTTGTATTCCCAACACTTTCGGGAGGCCGAGGAGGGCAGATCACTTGAGGTCAGGAGTTCGAGACCAGCCTGGCCAACATTGTGAAACCGTGTCTCTACTAAAAATACAAATATTAGCCAGGTGTGGTGGCAGGCACCTATAATTCCAGCTACTTGGGAGACTGAGGCACAAGAATTGCTTGAACCTGGGAGTTGGAGGTTGAAGGGAGCTGAGATTGTGCTACCACACTCCAGCCTGGGTGACAAAGAGAGACTCCATTTCAAAAAAGAAAGATGGGGGGGTGATAGAGAGAAAGAGAGAGAAAGAAAGAAACTAATCGCTCCAGATCCAAATGTTGTAGTTAGCTGGCAAGCACTTTAAGTGCCTAGGATTCATATGGTTCAAGAAAGTACTGGAAAGATGGAAAAAGGGCAGACAAGAAACAGAATTTCATCAGTAATTCAACTCTAATATATAAAAGTAGCAACTATAGATTTCAGAACTAAAATCTCTGAAATGTAGTTAGTCATAAAAAGATAGACAAAACTATGCAGTTTGAAAGTATTTGAATTACTTAGGTAAATCAGAAACATACATAATTAACAGATAGAAAAAGATTGATTGAACCACATAAAAGTGTGAGAGAAAGACAAAGAGATAGACATACAGATAATACATGTTCTAAATGTTCTAAACAAAAAATAATTCGATGTTTTCTTTTTGTTGCAGTAAAGACCTAAATTACATAGATACATAGGCAAATTGCTTAGCAAGTTTTCTTTAATGCTTAAGGATCGTGTTAGATAAATTAGAATTAGCTAATACATATTTTATTTCCATGTACGTTTAACAAGAATGGTCTTCAAACAATAAAAGTTAAAACAAGATAAGGAGAAAATTGTAGCTCAAAGTAGATGAGGGTAGTTAGAACCTAAATCTTCCAAATGAATTCAGGCTCCAGACTGGGATTAATCATATCCCAGGTACTGAGAAAATTGCAGCTGTCAGTTATCTTTGAAAAATCTATAGAAACTAGAAGGGCCATAAAATTACAGAACAGAAAATGCCCTGATTTTCAAAAGGAGGAAAGGATGGACTACGCAATTTACAGATTGGTAAGCTTCAGACTGGAAATCATTGCAATAAGTTCATTACTTATCAAGCACTTTGTGAGCATTGTGGAAAGAATGCCTTGGTCACTAAAAGCCAACCTAATTTATGTCAAATTATGTCTATATCATTGATAGGATACTAGGTAGGTAAACCTTCTTTTAA